AAAGGCCAATCAGGTCTTAGGACCACCATAGTTTCTGTAAGAACTGTGGATTTCTAATACTCAAGTGCCTTTTCATGTATTCTGATGATGGAGTCTCTGTATCACCTTTGTCTGTCCCTGAAACCCCTTTGGTGATAAAGTCTCAGGTTCATTTGAACACAGCCATTCCCAAGAATCTTGTCTTCCCTAGATGAGCTTCATGTCATGTTTTCTTCACCTCCCCCTTCCTCCAAACAATCTGCTATTGGTGTGCCTCCAGCTTGTGCAGCATTTAGCAATGGCTGTGCCAGTAACACACTGTGAAAATGACCCTCCTGTCACATCCCAACATCACAGCTCTCAAAATCAAACATTTCTTGGTAACACTCTCCATAACAAGGAGTAACAATCTCTGCTTTCTGCTCTTGAGGCACCATCATTCTTCCAAGGAACAGCTGGGATGGACACTATTTAAAATACCAGTAAAAGGAGGAAGAAGTACAGCTACAGCTGGGTTTGCCTGAACTGCCACTAAGAGCATTTGAGCTCTTGCTGTGACTCTGCCATGGCTCTTCTTTTGCTGTGCCTCATCTTCTCACCACACCTGTTGCTACTGGGTATTTGGATGGCAAACTCTTCTTTGCCATGCTGCAAATTTCAGCCCAGGACCTGAGAATCCCTGCCATGGACAGGATGATTTCAGAACGTCCCAGCTGTCACAAAAGAAAGGATGAAGTGTGAAACTACTTATGTAGACCTTTGAAGCAAGCTGAACCAGAGCAAATATTGAATAGGGCCAAGGCTCCTTCCTCCCCAGGCAGCAGTTTGTTCACATGCAGTGGTTCTAAGGCCTTCCACCCTGGAGTAACCCTGCTCATGGTTATCTCTGTAATGCTGACAGGGCAGCTGCCTCTGAAATCACACATCCATGCCCACTCTGCCCAAAATGCTGAGATGAGCACACAAAACATGGAATGGTGACCATTCAGGTGTGCTGGTGAAGGGAGCAGATGAAGCAGATCTCTAGAGCTAGAAGCTAGAAGAGCTAGAAGCTGCCACTTAAAGCTACAGTTCTGACATCAGCCACACTAAGGAGACAAACCACAGAGACCACAATATGTGGCAGCACTTCTCTGCACCTGTCTGCAGCACAGCACATCTCGAGCACTGTCAGAGCAGCAGTGGCTGCTGTGCACAGGATGCACCTTCTCTGCAGCAGCCCCTCATTGTGCTCAGAGAGGCACTTGCTGCAGAGAAGTGACTGCTGGTGCTCTGCTCACTCTCACAACCTCTGGGTTTGCAGGGGAAAGCAGCACAGCCAATCTGGTTTATCACACTGCAGCAGGGTGCTGAGTCCTGTCACCAAGCAGCAGATGAGATGAATTTCATAAAAGTGCCCCTGTGCTCACCAGAGACTGGATGGACCACACTGAGATTGGGCAGCAGCTGCCAAGGAAAAGAAACAGAGAAGGACTGGGACATGATCCTCCACAGAAAAACATGAAACTTCTGATATTGAACTCAAAGCATCTCAAAACATCTATGGAAGAGGAAATAGCCTGGAAACTGGATTAAATCTCTCTTGGTACCTCATTATCTTCTTGAGTGTGAGAGAGAAACCTTCTTATTTGTTCATCAGGATTGTAGTTTATTAAAATTTAAATTCACTTTTTGGTAACTTTCCCAGACCAAAAAAAAAAAGTCAATTCAAGTTTTGGCATGGTCTTCACTTGGGAAATAACTGCTCTATAACAGGGTGAGCTCTAGCAGCTTTATTATCCCACTCAGCAGAGGCACAAGTATTACCTCTAACAAGTCTGAAGCATACATGGTCCCCCTTACATTTCACAAGCAAGGAAGAAAGGATGTGCAAATCACCCACAGAAAGAAGTGCTGGAGTTCTTTGTCCCAGAAATGAAGACTGTGAGGAAATATGGGAACAGACTACCACATGGAAAGTGCTCTAAGGAGAGAGACAGCTGTTCTCCACCTCAGAAGTGCTCAGAAGTGTTCAGCTTTAGTCACAGCAGAGCTGCCATGACAAGAGAAAACTTTCTAGCAGACAGAAGCACAAAGCATCAGGACAGATTGCGTGCTAAAGTCCTCAGCAGCAATGGGAGCCTCTGGGTCAGGCTGGGCAAACATTTGTCAGGAATGATGTAAGGCAAGTTGATGCTTACTTGGATGGGGAAATTGGGCTAGATGACAGTCAAGTTCCCTTCCAAGCCATCTTGATCTATGGCCCTACACTGAGGAATTGAGTGCTGGCCAGTAATCCACACACACAGAGTCATGTGGGATCCCAGAGATGCCCTGTGTCACCCTAATCTGGCCCTCTGTGTCTGCCAGCTCCTCCCATCGAAAGCAGTCTCAGCCCTACAAGAGCACAGGCTCAGCAGAGAACACTGTGATTATAAATGTTTGTCTCTAAGGTTCCTGTAAAGTCCCTTTCTCCCCATATCTCAGGTGGAGACTGAGAGCACGGTCAGTGCTTGCACTTTGGGGTGCTGACATGGACATTACACCAGAAGAAGAATGGGATCTATCTCTGATCTCCAGCCCTAGACTTTGGGCCTCACATTCATAGCAGGAGGTACAACCCCACTCTATCTCAGCTGAGTCCCCTTCCAGCCTCACAAGCCCATTGTGGAAGTTCTGTTTCCCCAGCACAGGAACAGCTCCATTTGCAGCTGCACCTGCAATCTGCTGACCCCAGTTCTGGCTGTCCCTGGGCCTCCACCTTGCCCGAAGTGGGAAGGCTGAGGCAGGAGTGTCTCCAGCATGGACACAGCTAAACTGGGACCGCAGCTCCACCTGCAGGGCTCTGCCAAAGCAGCTCCTCCTCGGGGAAGGGCAGTGTCACCCCAGCAGATACCGCACACCCGGCAGCTCCCAGAAGACAGATGTGAGCACAAACACAACCACGCTCCTCAGGGTCCTGAAAGCACACAAAGACCCCTCTGACAGCATCACCTCAGGAATCAAATCACCATTTTGATACAGTTCCCAGGACCCAGTTAATTGCCAGCAAATTCAGTGCATGTTAGATACTGGATGGTGCAGAATGCTGAGTGAAGCCTCTGTGGCTCCAGGGAGCAGCTCTCGTGCTTGGGGCTCTGCCAGTGCCAGCTCGGCCTCCTGCCCTCAGGCAACACCCACACGGCCCAGGGCTCCACAGCCAGGCTCCTTGAAACCTCCAAAGAGCTTTGCAGTGCTTCTGTACCAAAAGGAGCCCAGGCCAATGTGTGTAAAGCACCAGGAACACATTGTACTACAGCAGCACATTCCCTTGGATGCGAGTCTGACAGGAACATCCAGACTCCTGGGAGAACAGCAATTTTTCCTTTTATGAAAAGGTCAGCAGCACCATGTGATTTTCCAAGCTATATAACCAGTAGGCAATGCAAATACATAGAAATGCAAGTGTTTTAGTGGTAAGTATAGGAATTTACACTTGTCCAACTGGATTAGACCACTAGTCTGTCTTGCAAGGGATTTGTTCTGCTCAGGGCTCGGACAAGGGATTGGCTGATGTTTCCAAGAAAAAGCACCCTGCCTTCTGCAGCCCAGCCACTGGCACTCTTAGAGGGCACCTAGCACCTGTCTGCTGCAGGGAACCAGCCCACCCTCTAAAGAATGCAGCATGATGCTGTTTAACACCCCCATCAGTTCATGGACTACCCAGCTTTTAAGGCCTCCTGCAGAAGCAGGCTGTGCAGAATGCTCTGTTTCATACACAAACACTGCTAACACCCAGAAGAAATCTGAGAATTCATTTCTTTAAATTTAATTTTTAAACAGAGTCTGACAAACTGAACTTAATACCCCTAAATTACTATTAGAAAAAAAGCCACAACCACACAAAATACCCTTTGACTGAACTTTGTACTCATGGCTCTAGGAGGCCAGAAATCAGCTGTACTGAAATGGTATTTCCAAACCTATGCTCAAGTGCACTTTAACTGACCTATTTTTGTTCTCTCCTTCCCTAGATTTCCTCTACTGTGTTTAACCTGGGCAGGTACTGCAGGCCAAAGAAGACTCAAAAATTCAAGTAAAGAGTGTACAGACATGGTAAACTACTGGAGTGGATAAATGTAATGTCAGAGTACAATGGGTGAAAGGCAAGTCTGTGAAAAGAACTGTGAGTAGGGAAAGGTTCCAGCTGGAACCCAAGTGCTGGTTCATCAGAGAGAGCTCAGGTGTCTGTGGGAAAGCAGGGCCCATGTTCAGGAGTGAAGGGGATGGAGAAAACTCATTTGAGGAGTGAGATGTGGGAGAGGCAGAGGGAAAGGGAACAGATGTATCAGGGCTCATGTAACACTCTGTGACCCTGCTGCAGCCCTCCAACAGACTCAGTTTGCTGCTGCATGTCCTGCCTGATGCTTCTGGCTGTGCAGCCCCAGCTGAGCCTGGACAGAGCCTGGGAGCTCCTCCCTGGCACACACAGCAGGGCCCTGGCTGGATGCTCCCACCCCTCCTGAGTGCTCACCTCCACTGGCCCAGCAACTGCTTCCATCTGTCCTGGCAGAGCAGACCCTTTCCTTGGCTTCTTTCCTTCCTTCCCTGGCTAGCTGTGCTCCAGAAGGGAACCTGCACCACTGGAAACAGCAGCAGCAAGCAGCAGCTTGAATCTAATCCTGCCATTATTTACATTGACATGATGTTGACTGTCCACTTTAGGGACCTCTCTCAGAGCTGTTTCAGGCAGGCCTAGTCTGACTCATCCTTCCCAAAGAGACAGACCTCAGCTACTCCCACACCTGTCAAGAGACTGGGTCCTACTCCAAACTCAGCTTGTCAAACTTCATGCAGGTCATTTCACCTCCTGTTTTTCAAATTCTCCATCTGCAAAAGTGGAGTAGTGACTCTGGCCTTCTCTTTAAAGTGTTGCAATTGAATGCCTCATGTGGAATTTAGGCATTTCTATTACTATCAGAGCAGTATGTGGGTGCCAGATGTTTATTCAGGCCTGCCAGCATCTCTGAATAGTTGCAGTGAAATTCTTTTAAGGACTCTGGTCTGAAGCACTGTCTTTATTACAATGTGTTGACCATTTCTGGCAGCATCCACCAAATGTCAAAGGCTGTAAATTCAGGTGCTGTAAGATGTGCTGTAAGATCCTTCAGAGACAATCACTCAGCAGGAGTGGGAAACAAAGGCTGCTTTGCTATTGGAGCATCAGGATCCTGGAACAGAACTGCATTTGAAATGTGCACAACAGTTATGTCCTGTTATACCTGCAAATCTATGTGCCAGTATAAGCCAGGATTTGAGCTTATCACCCCATCTGGTCACATTTTATATAAATTATCTCAAGGCCAATTGAAAAAAATATAATAAATTCTTTCTAGGCCAAATGGGTGATTTGGCACGTTGAGAAGTTGTATTTTTAATCTGGAGCTGTGAACTCTTCTATCTTAGGTCCTGAGATGATTGAGTCACTTTAGCAGAGCAGACTAAAATGTTTCATGCAGTTCCCTGAGGAAGGTGGAACACTTGCACATGCTCAGCTGAACTTCTGCATCTCTGGATGAGGTCTGTGTCAGGATATGAGGGGTCTGTCCCTGCATGGAAAGTCCAACACTCTGGGGAATAGAGATTGCTTTCACAAGGCAGAAGGAGTTTTCAACCAGCTGCTCAGCTGGGCTCAAGAGCAAAAAGCATCCTGCAAGGAGAGTTATGTCTGACAGTTGTCAGCTGCTTTGTTTCTGGATGTGCAGAAACCTAGGCCTGTGGAGAAAAGAAAGACCAGAGCTTTAAGTCTCACTAGGGACAATGTGCCTCTACCTCCATCCTATAAAAGCAGTAATTTTCCAATGGCAATAACCCCACCAGAGCCAGTCACCCCATCAGAAATGCTCACCTGGGTCAGAATTTCTGACTCAAACACTTGCCAGGCAGTTTCAGAATATCAGAAACTGAGATACAACCAGGGAGCCCCTATTTTGTTAAAGATTGGCTTCAGCTGTGAAGCTGCTCTGGCTTCACTCAATACATAAAGGTGCAGGGACATATTCTTCAAAGGACACAAAGCCTCCAAAAATGCAAAGGCAAAAAGAGACTTACTTGCCACAAAAGTCCTTGTGAATGGCACGGAGGGTGAGCAGTAATTCTGGGTGTGCCTGTAGCCAGTGCTCCACCATATCTGGATGTCTGGGATCAACTTCCAGAAATACACTCCTGAAAAGGCACATTTGGGAGCAGAATTGGAGAGATGCACATGTAGGTTGCTAAACTGATAAAAATGAAGATCTTTCTTTCTGTATGATTCTGACCAGTGCAGGAAATGAAAAGGTCAGTAAACACAGTGCAGTCCAACAACCCCAAACCAGATCATAGCTGTCCACATAAGATGCAGATCCCAGCTGCCTCCTTCAGGGGAGAAAGTGTTGATCCTGGGGGGAATTCTCATGGTACTCTGCTGAGCAGTTAAAGCCTTGAATCAAGATGTAATGAGCCCTTCTGAAGCTCACCCAGAGAAACCACCAGCCATGTGCTTCTGAAACCCCCCAAGATTTAAAGGCAGAAGGCAGTTTTAATGCTGCAGGAGCACTGAGCACCAGCCTGGCAGCCTGAAGTCCCTCTGTGTATAAGCAGCAAGAGACATGAAGTCAGAACACACATTCTTCCACAGTAAATGTCTCCATAAATCAGTTATGAAAACAACACCAGCATTCAGACCTACACAGAACTGACCAAATAACCTCAGTTAGGGCACCAGGACCAGGCCTGGGCACTGCAGGGCAATTTCCATCTCTGCCAGACTTTATGACACTGGCTCATTCCCCATGTTCCCTCCTGTGACAAAGCAGAACCACCCCAGCTCACAGGCACAGGGATGGAGCTGGTTATAGCCTGGGACACAGCAAGAGACACTTTTAGCAGTCTAAGGACACAAGCCAAACCCCATCAAATGCTCTCCTGAGAACGCTTAAAGCATCCCACACTGAATACTCCCAACAAATTCACCAGGCTAACTACAAGCTGGGTGTGGATCTCATTTCTGACCTTAAAAAACTTCCACTCCTCAATGAGGGCTTGACCTTATTAAACAAGCAAAAAGAGAAGGAAAAGAAATAGTCTTAAGAAACAACCCCACAGTACCAGTCTCTAATGCTGGGAAATTCTGAGGAGCATCTTCTGCTCTTGTGGTCATGCAAAGCATGAGGAATGAATTCTGCATGCACTATGCCTCTCAATATTCCCATTCTTCTCCTCAAAACAGCAGATTTTCAATGACCTCTCTTATGGTGGCCAAATGTCAGGAATATTCAATGGGATGTGTGAATGCCCTGGCACATGAACAGTACACCCAGACTTTTGGGTATCAGCATGTTGATCTTCAAAATGGATCCCACATAACAGAGAATAGGAACAATCAGTCTTGAATATTAATCAGGGAGAAATTTAACATTTAAGAAACTATCCCTAACTGATCTTCATTTTCCTGGGATATTCAGCATTCTGTACTGGTACAACAAAGAATTTTCCCCTAATGAAAGGGTGTGAGGGAAGTGGAGATCTATATCCACCCTCAAAGAGATCTCCATTGCTGCTCCTTCCATCAGGTACTCACCCCAGAAAGCTCCCCTGCTTTCTGCACTCTCTTTCTTGGCTGCTCTCTTCCATGTTCTTTTTGTTGCTGCTTTCACCTTCAAAGATCCTCACTTCACTAATGACCAGGAAATGCCACCAACAGCCAAGGAAAGGGCTCACACCCCTTTATTAACAATTTCAAGCTAATTTTGCTTACACACATGACATTTTAAAAACTATTATTAACTGGGGAAATGAGGGGACAATTGGCAACTATTTTCCCTCTGTTTTGTTTTCATACAGGAAGTACAGAATTTACAGAAGTGGATGGATAAAAGACATGAAATTCAAAAGATGGTAGTGCTTACCCAGAAACCTTGAGAAGAGAAGGAGCCAAAGCCAGAATTGTTTTGATGACTCTCATGCCATCATCTCCCCCATCAAGGGCATCAAGGTCCTCATAGCTGGAGTGTGGGAAGGAAAAGACATTTGACAGCAATTCCTGCATCACCCCACAAAGAAAGGTGCACCTGCCAAACCTGAACTGCAGCACTCCCAGAGCAGGGGATGGCACTCACCCACTTCTGTGGGAAATATAGGGAGGGAGAAGGCAGCTACCACTGGGCTGAGAAACCCCACATTCAGCACAAGGAGAAAACATCCCCTGAAGTATTTCTGAAAATTAGGAGCCAACTGTAGCTGGGGTCTCACAATTCCAACACATTGGAATTGTGTTCTCCCTAAGCTGGCCAGAGAGCAAGGGTGTTGTACAGCAAAGGCTTGATTGATCCATGCCAAACAGCAGCTCAGGCTGTGGCTGGCCCAGCAGAGCCAGCTGGGATGCAGAAAGTTCAGCTGCCAGAACCTGCTCTGGTGCACATCTTGGACAGAGGTGGGGGCAGGACCTTCTTCTCACATGCATGACAATCAGTTTTGGACTGGGAACTTGCTAATTTCAAACTGTGTACTTTTTCTATTTTAACAAATATTCTATGTTGCTTCAGGCATGTAAGCAGTGTCAAAGCAAGCCTGTGTTATTACATCCCAAATAAACACACCTATATTTTCCACATGTACATTACATTTGCATGTTTGTGTGCAACTGTGTGTAGTACAGGAAGCAGACAGAAAACCTTGCTTCAAAGAACAGGAGAGGAAAAATGTCTTTGTTTGATTACCAGAGGATTTCTGCATCCAAGGAAGCCATGTCTTCATGGAAAACATATGGGGGGTTACTGACTATGACATCTATGGGGCCCCAGAGCAACAGCTGTTTGGCAGAACCTAGCAAAGAAAAAGAATCACAAGCAGCTCTCAACCACAGCATCTTCCCTATAAGCTCAGTGTCAAGATCCTCCCCAAGAAACTGTCTCCAGGCATGTGTAAATGTGACTCTGCTTTGTGATCATAAAATTTTATCATATTTCTTTCTGCAATAGTGTGCCTTGCTCCCTGTCCCAGGAGTGCAAGAGTGATACAAAGGAAAGCACAGATGAAGTATCATTTTTTCATATCAAGAGCCTGCTTAAAAAAACGTGTTAAAAAGCACAGAGCTTGATGCCCTGGAACTCTGTGCCCATCTGGATCTAAAGCAACAATCAGAACTCAGAGAGCCCACAAAGGCCTAAGTGGGAGCTTAGACTGGCTGTCCAGGTGAACATCCCTCCTCTTACAGAGCTGCAGCAGGACCTCCAAGGAGCTGCAGAGCCAGGGCCCTCAGCAAAAACAGCAATGGGCTGCTCTTCTGCAGACCAGGAGAGCTCCCTACACTCCTGCTCTGTCTGACACAGGTCAGCCCTGCATCAGACCTCATGGAACCATGTGAGTGTGGCACTGTCCTTGGGCAGCCTCTTGGTACAGGGCTTTCAGCTCTAAGAGGCAGCAGTGTCAAAAACAAGTGCACAAAGGTGTGCTAATGTACCCACAGTGCTGCAGCTCCACAGCTGCTGACAAACAGCCAAGCACTATTGACCTAACTGGACAGGCCCCCCCAAATGCTAGTTTTAACTGGTTTCAGCTGGTTTTGGGGAAGAAAACATCCTTTCCTGGTTCAACTCACCTAATTTCAGGTGAATATGGTTGGGCATTTAATCTAAGCTAAATATATGGGCTCCCTCTACCATCAATGGAGAGACAGGCATGCACTTGTTTATCTAAAGCCTCTATGGCAGCATGGAATGAATTGCACTCTTTATATATTTGCCTCTCCCCAGCAACAGTAAAGAGCACCTGGACTCCAGCTCAGATACAACCTTGGGACACCTAAACCCAGGAACAATTCACTTTCTGATACCATTAGGGACTTCTGTCAGCTGATCATCTGCCCTGGAAATCTCTGCAGGGAAAAGCTTCACTGGCTCACTTCTTACTGACCTTTTTCTCTATTAACTTCAACACTCTTCTGCTGCCTGCATCCCAGAATGATCTTTTGGCTGTCTCTCATGCCTCCCTCCACCCATCAAAGACAAAAAGGGGAAACAACAAAGAAAAGAGTTACTGTGTGAAACATCTTGGTGGATGATGTGAATCCTTTCTTGGAGCTGCAACCTGTAACATTCCAGATGCAAGATGCAACAACAGAAAGAAGAAAGATTATTAGGAGGTGTATTTGTGTTCATGAGCAATACATTCTACAAACAGATCATTAAATATTGCACCTCTTATCTGATAACATGCATTCACAGCTGCCAAGATCTTCCCAGCATACTCTCTCCTCCCACCACAGTGGCCTCACACCCAAGTTCTACTCCCTTTTCTGAGGGCATCAGGAAAGGGAGGGATTCCTGCACTGTGTGCCATGTGCCCAGATGGATCTGGCACTGGGATTGATCCAGTAAGACTCATCTAAGCATCCAGAGAACACAGCTGGGATAAGGGAGCTCTGAAAAGCAGGCAGGACCTAAGCTGGGTTCAGTCAAGCAGTAACACAGCTTATCCTGCTAGCTTCTCTCCCAAGAGCTACAGGGCACCATGCCAGGGACAAGATCACAAAGGCACAATGAAAATATCCATGGAGAAATATTTAGCTCTCTGACGTGGCATAATACTCCCTCATCCACTCTTGAGCCAACAAGCAATGTTAATAAGCAAGACAATTTCCCCCTGAGGCCAGAGTTATAGTTTATCAAGGAGACAAAGATCTGGCCAGCTTTTATTATATCTATGAAAAATTGCAACAGAATTTGGTTTGACACTGGCACATTAGGAAGAAACCTCTGCTCCCCATTCTCTGTAACTGGGCTAGGAGGCAAAGGGTAACAGTGAGGTGACCAGTTTGGGAAGAGCTTGTTCCTACTCAGCTCTTCAGACTCACAAGCTGGGACTTGCAAGAAGTGAAGAAATGCAGCCCAGTGCAGCCAGCACCAGAAGTAGCCCCTCCAGTGCTGGCAGCAGCTTGGGAAAAGAGGGGTATGTGGGTCTGTGGACAGAAATCCCAGTTAAAGAGCACCTCTTGAGACTCACAGCTGTACTGGACTCCATGAGAAATAGCAACAGGAACTTTTTCTGAGGTGGTTCTAATGAATGGCTAGGGCCCAGCAGTTACTGAGGATGTGAATGCAATCTGGAGCTCATTTGACAAAGCCTACAGAGACTCAGAAGCCTACTGGGATTCCAGCTCTGGGGTTCCCTGTGCTAGTGACAGTCCAGAACAATCTGACAGAAGAACCAGCTGAGGAAATGGAGCTCTAGGAAGGACAGGGACAACCTGACAGACATCTCTCTGACTTCAGGACAATGTGATTGAGCCAGCAGCTCTGAACATCCATCCTGCCACAGCACAGGTGCCTGAACTGCATGGGATCCAGCAGCACCGTTCCCACCAAACCAAGACTGCAGGGAGGATGCTGAGGGACACCGGGCAGCACGTCAGAGGAAAAGTGCTACTTGACTGTGCAAAGCATTTCTGGAGGAGCAAGGACAGAAACAAGCACAACAATAATGGTTCAGGGAGCCAGAGAGAGAAAGGCTCAGGATACACTTGTCCTTAACCTCCTAAGTGACATAAACATTCCTACTTCAGTCCTGAGCTTCCTGAGTTCACAGACAGGGATAAGAATAGCTACCAAAAACACTCTGAAAAACCTTGACAAACAGCATGGAGTACCACTGCTTTATTTAGGCTGCTGTCTTTGCAAAGCATGTTCACAAGCCAAAGAAATACACTCTGGTAAACATAAGCTTTTTTTTTTTCCTGAATTGTTACAAACTTAGGAGCTCAACAACTAAACGGTCTCTGGTTTCCAGTGGTGATAAACATGAAAGACATGTACAAGTATTGACAACTCTTGGTCTTTCTCAAGCAACAATTAACAAAAAAATGAGTAATATGTGGTCTTGTACCTATATGCATTCTCCCTGGTGAGATCCACAGCAGCCTCCTCTTTGTCCATGGCTATGACTCTGCTCTGGAACAGAAAAAAACAACAAATCCACCAAGCAGGTGTTATAACATCAAGATTCCTGAGCAGACATGCTCTGCCAAACATGCAAGATCAAAACTGACAAGAGACTGCTCACTCTTGGCTCCTGAGGAATGCATGCAGGGCATAGCTGGGATCACAGTGATGTGTGTAAAGCACTAAGGAGACTGAAGCTCTCTGCAGCACAGCCAGCAGCCCACCAGAACAGACAACAACAGAGCCCCAGTGACTCAGCTCACTGACCCCTCACTGCTCCTGGCAGGGTGAGACTCAGCACTAGGGCTAGTCTGGGCTAGGCACAGACTGCTGGAAGGTCATGTTGGTGGATTTATCCTTCCTAGCACAGACAGGATCCCTCCTGACACTAGCACAACCACTTGGACACAGATTCTGGCATTTTCCATCTGTTATGCAGACACCTTTTACCCAGTTACTCCATGCAGTCCTTAGACAGATTCACTGCCTGTACTGACTGCATGTACTTGACAGTGTGTCAGGTATTTGAAAGTTCTCCAGCATAATGGTAAGAGACAAGGCTCCACAAAGAGAGATTTGTTTGACCTTCAAGTCCACCTTGGGAAAACCACAGACAAGGCCTAACTTGGTTTTGCTATGCCTAATGTTTTTTTAAGCACAGATGTTGGTAGGATTTACACAGAGGACACATGCTTGAAGAAACTGCTTGGCATTTGGAGATGATGGTGTGATTTGCCATCACTCCTAAGGGGATTAATTTCATGGTCCCAGGCCAGCACCCACACACATGAAGCTCACCCTTAAGGTGAAGGACACAGCTGAGACCATAAATGAAAAACTGCTGCTGTTTTCTCAGTACATTAGTGCCAAATTCTGCCTCTCAAACACTAAGGAGATTACCCAGAGTGTAACTCCACTAAGCTGTCAGTGTGGCTACCACTAATTCTAATCAGTCAAGGCTCCTTATTTCTCTGGGTACAGCAGTTTGGGCTGGGAAAGGACTGTCATGAAGAATTACAGAGACAGACTGACACAGCTCTTTAAATTAACAAGCAAGGAAAAGAGCATGAAGCTCTTCTCCCAGCTCAGAAAATCAGAGCAATTATACTCTGAAGTCATGAAGCTCAAATATTAACCTTCTCAGGTCACTGGGAGGAGGAACACCCCTTCCATTAGAGGCATCAACCTCTAATTCTTACACAGCCAGGCCTATATTTCTACAAGAGGAGGGGCTGGCCACAGCAATTCTCATTCTTGAGAAGGAACTGGCTGGTCTGCAGTTCTGAGGAGAGGGGAATATTTTTCCCTTGACCACAGGCAATGAGATCTTGGATTCCTTTCTCATTTTCTTGACCAAGAGTATCTCCATAAACCTGTTACACACCACAAGAATCAGGACAAGAAGGGTTTTGGTCACCCAGATCTCAGTCCCCTCCTGCTTTTTTGACTCTGTTCAGAAGCTGTGGGTTGTTACTAGGGAACAGAAGACTACAAAAATGTGGTTTGGCAGTTGTGGCAGTGAGATTTGCTTGTCTTTTTGATCCCAAGTACTGACACTGCTATGGTAATCCCTTTCCTGTATCATTTAGTCTTCAGCTTCCTACAGACCAGATCTTTTGATTCACAGCAATGTGGTTTATAGAGATGACTGCCCCATAAATTCAACAAATAGAGTGTGTGCCCATGTCTCAGTCCTCCTGTCCTCAGTCCAGGTTAGTATCTTAAACCAACACCCACCAGTGCTTCAAGGTAAGGTGATTATTAGTGAGCTGCAGCAGCTCAAGAATGAGCACATTCACTTCTTTCATTCTGATTATGCCTTTGCTATTCCTGCAGACAGATGGGGAGAGGGAGCAATTCCCAAATATCCCTCCTCTACCTGCTAGGAACTTACTGAGCCTGTCAGAGACGTGAGCTGCCAAAGTTCCTTCAGAGAAGTTTGTGACATCTCAGTGAAGATGAGCAGAGTGGGACTGTCCTCTAACACAGCCATCTATTGCACCAGGAGCACTGAAGGGAGCTCACCTGTGGCAGTTTACAGAGCAGACTCAGAGCAATTGCTCCAGACCCACAGCCAATTTCCAGGATCACAGGATGAGGAACAGGAACTGGGAAACAGAGGGCTGAATTCTCACATTTCTGAAATTCTTCTTCCACAACTAAAGAGACAAGGTCCTAAGAAAACAAACAAACAAAATTACTAAGGGAGCTGTTTTGACTCACACCTTTGTGATCTGAAGACTGCAGTTTAAATTTCTTGACTCTGTACCCAATGTATTTTTGTTGCTAATTTTAAAAACACAGATGGAAGTAATGGAACTGACATGCCAGAAGTCACTTCAGCTCCATCTGCTCCACAGGGTGCTTTGATTAGTGACCAAATCCTCAGGATACAATCTCCCACAGATCCTCTGAAATCTTCTACCACTGTTGGGAAAAACAATAACCAGACAGCTGGAGCACATTATCTTCTGCAACACCATTTACTCCAAATTTTTGGCTTTCAGAATTTGTAAGTTTCAAAACCCAAGATTTCTACACAGTCTCAGTACAGTAGGTGACCAGGAGGCAGTTACACAGCTCCTGATAGCATCTGAACCAATCCAACCTGCAGATGAAAAGTCAAGGCAATGAGTTACTAAATGATCCAAATGAGCAGCTCCCTGCATGGATTTCAGATTGTGGAATCCTACTACATTTTGTTGCTATAAAATCACATGGAAAAGATTTTTATCCATGCTCCTGGATCTGTATGCAGTTCTGCCATGTCTGCCTCCTCCCTCACATCAATCTTTTCTTTTTTAAATCCCTTTGCAATGTTATATAAAATCCTATACAGCAGGAGAGGTCTCAAAGATTTCTACGGTTTGTGAAAATGAGATAAAAGAGAAAGCACACATGTAGCTCCCTCTGACTGCAGCATGAACTTCCTTTGTTATTCACTAGAGAAAACTGTAAGATGGAAACCTCATGAACCCTCTGAGTGCATCAACAGCTCAGCAGTGCCCTCAGCTCCCTCCCATCCTTGTGCTTCCAGGGCACAACAGCACACACAGGCCTTCTGCCCTAGGTGTTCCCTAGGATTCTCTATTTGAGAGGGCTGCTCTTGGATCTCTCCTGTAAATCCAGAAAGTTTAACAACATTTACAAAAAATATCTGGCATAAGCTGGAATATTTAAAAGGAACAAGTCCTGGCAGGCAGGTCAGCTTCTCTGTTACTTTACAATGGCTTTTGTCAGGAGCCTGAACTGGACAGGCTTGTGCATAAAGGCAGAACCTCTCCTTGGATCTCTCATCCTTACTGGGGTGCAGCATAAGAGATGCCTTGTGCAAAGCTGCAGTACCTCTGAAGAGATTCACAGCTGTTGGCCATCCTTCATGACAGGCCACTCCACGTGTGCAGTAAGTGGGAAGGGAGATGCAAACAGGTACAAAAAGGAAGCATTCACCTAGATGAGCTTTGATGAACCATCCCTGGAGCACTTTGGGGACTGATATCTAAATATACTCAGCCAGGGATGAGGAGCCGCATCAGAATTGCCCTGCCCTGGTCACCATGTCATTACTGGCATTGCCCTCATATGGGAGGTTTTCTAACAGCCTCCAAAATCCCAAATTCCTCACTGCTGCTCTGGGATTCCCTTCCTAGACAATTATGGATGTAAACAGTCTCACAGGCTCCCAACCTGGAGGAAACTATTTCAGGACTCAGACAGCAAAAGGGAAAAATAAACACCTGATCTCTCCACTTCTGTGAGAAGAGGCTTTGGCCATTCAAACAGCTCCAGATGAATCAGCCTGAAGAGACTCGGGCCCTGCAGCCAGCCAGAGACTGCAGCCACAGCTTCCTTTGGCAAAGCAGGTGGGGTGCTGAGGATTCCAAGACCACAGAAGAAAAGGCACACAAAAAATTCTGCTTGGCTATTAAATCACTTCTTTAAATACCAGCCATTTCTGGACACTTACAAACATTTCCTGGAAATCTCCACAGTAACTCAGAACCATCTGTTCCCAGAGTAGCACAAGTTACTGATTACAAATGTCCAAATATGACTTCCATACACTGGAACTATTCTAACCATTTATTAACTTCCTTAAGGTTTCTCATTAGTAATTTCAAGCTTGATGGGTTTGAATGGAATGCCTACTTTACACATTCCACAGTGAAAGCATTTTAGTGTGCTTGCCAAAGCTCCCATTTAAACATGACTGATTTCAGGTTTTACCACATAAAATACAAATAAAATGGGACATTGATATTACTTAGGCTTTGAGTCCTGCTTTCTGACTGCCTTCCCTCATTGTCTTGGTTATTTAATTTCAATTCTTACTGAGGCAAAGGCTGGTTTTCTCATAATACACATTTACCATAATAGTGCAAAAGTAAAAGACATAAAAAATAATGGGACAACCTAAAGGAATGGCATCATTTTCCAGACATTAGTACCTCACTACAATAAAAGGCTGAATAATTATTTTCAACCTGATTGACCAGCAAAGAAGAAGATGTATTCTAATTGGCAATCAGGAAAATCCAGCAATCATGACACAGAGTATGTCCAGTCATCCCACTCCCATTGCCACAAGGTTTCAGGAATGATTAAATTACCAAAAATTGCTTTGAAACTGTATTTGTCAGATTCTTCTCAGTATTTTTCACCTTCTAGCAAATGATCCAGCCAAAATCTGTACTTCTCCAATCACATCATCACCTCCAAAATATCACCACTGGAAATTGATAAATTACAGCACTTTGCAGAACACAGCAGAGCCCCTTTCAAATCTCATCTTGGAGATGAAGTATCTCTGGCTGAGTATTACAGTGTTCATACAAAGACTACAAAGTAGACAAGTCAGACATTCCCAGACTTTGCACAAGAATCCTACTGGAACCACAGCGAGGGAAAAGCAACAAAGAGGCTGATGCTGCTTAAAAGAGGTGCCTGGGACTGGCACAGAGAAACTGAGACTGGGACAACTGCAACTGGCCAAAGGCTGGGGTCTTTACTGGGTAGGATACCCCATGTCTTCTCAGACTGAACAGATTCAGAGCACAAACACCTGCTAATGTAATGCCAACATTATCAAAAGCCATTTTAACTATCAGTTTGATCACCAGCTTTGAAGGCTGAGATATGAAGTTACAGAAATTCCAGTGGGAAATAAAAGAAAACACTTTGTGACCCAATTCCATATTTGCTCACAGCATGCCAATCACTGGGTAGAATGAACTCTCAATTGTGGAGTTATTAACATTCAAATTATTGCTTACAGTGTGAGTCATTATTGTCAGTTACAACCCAACCCACAACAAAAAAAATTCTGCTAACCAGTACTACAGGTACTGCAGAACTACTTTCATCCTGGAGCCTGGTATCAGACACGTGGGTATCAGTGTGATAATTGTGTCAGAATGGGGAAATGGAACATTTTAAAGAATTTTTCTCCTCTAGTCTTTGCAAGAAGCTCCTTCCTGCAGCATAGTCAATTCTGGAAGGAGTGAAGGGACTGAATGGCAAACAGACAGAACCAGAAAACCTAAAATCCTCTGCCTGCTTTTGCTAGCAATGGCAGCAAGGTGAAAGGGAAGGAAGGTCCCCAACATGGTTTGGGCAGCCCCATGATGGAGCTGGTGACATCTGCATGCAGGGACAGACTGCACATTTCATTCCATAATAGGTGGGCAGAGGTGTTGAAACAGCCAGGAGGAAGAGACAGAAGTCACAAGGAAAAGTGGATTCAGTAGCCTCTTGAAGTTTCTCCTTGAAGGAAATCTTATGTATGGCCATAAACTAAAACACAAGAAGTTTCAGCTCAACATGAGGAAAAACTTCTTTACATTGATGGTGCACTGGAGCACTGGAACAGCTGCCCAGAGAAGACACAAAGTGTCCCCCTAGGAGATGTTCCAACCCCACCTGGACACATTCCTGTGTCACCTGCAGCAGGTGACCCTGCCTTGACAGGGGGATTGGACTGGATGATCTGCAGAGGTTCCTTCCAACCTCAATTGTTCTGTCATTCTGTGATTACCCTGTGCTTACATGTACAGGGGACACAAATATTTGCTTCTCATGCTACCTAACTTCTAGCACTCAAGAGGCTCTCAAGTTTTTGTCTCTTAGCCAAACCACTCACAGGCTGTTCTCACCTTGTGGTTCCAGGAAATCTTGCTTGACTGCCAGATTCACCCTAAGTTCACACTGTCCTTTATTTGGGCTCCACCCCCCACCTTCTCTTTGAGTGCAACAAATGCAAAAATTTGAACACCTCCAGCTTCCCCTGAGCCTCTGCCTCACCCTTCCACCCACAAGTGTGGTTCCCCAAGGCCCCCCAGCACCCTCTCTGCTCTCACAAGCTCTTGATGTCACCTCTGCCCTGCGGCCAGGGCTCTGGTTCACTGCATTTCTTGGAACTGCAGCTGCACAAAGCAGTGAGAGGCCAGGGGCTGCCAGCACCCAAAGCACAGAGGCTGCACAGCTGCAGCCCAGGCAGAACCAGCACAGGCTCAGCTGGGTTCCAGCCCCGAGACAGTCGGGAGGAGGCAGCAGAGATTCCTGGGCTCAAGGCTGGCTGCAGAGCTGAGGGGATCCTCTGCTACAGCCCAGCACCTGGGAAGGCCCTATCATATGTTTCTGCCATCAAAAAGGACAAACTAACTAAATAAAACAAGAGGAAATGAGGAATGGGAAAGGCAAGGGTGGAAGTCACAAACTGCTACTGCATTTCCTACAGGCACCCTTTTTCTATGCCCCAGGGGAAAGCAGGGAAGACAACGTTCCAGGGGTAAGAGCCAGGGTGGCAGGAGACTCTAAATTCCCAGGTCACTAAACTAAAGAAGGAAAGCAAAAAAACCCAGGAAAACCCTGATAACCAATAACCTTCTCTCTGCTCTCACTCACTTCCTGGGAATGTTTCACTTATCTGTGTGCTTTCCAGAAACTTCTATTCTCAGAATCCAGGACTTTCCATAGAACCTGATCTGATATTAACCCAATCACCTCTCCCATCTTGTTTGCTCACTTGGCTCCCAATCAGCTCATGACAAACACCAGGAATCCAAGCTGGAAACCCAACTCCATGGCAATAGCACTAGAAAATCCCTGCCAGTATCCTACTTCCAAAACCAAGCCATCAAGCCAGCCACTGCTTCATGGGCAGGCAGGGCTTTTGT